TTTAGGAGTTTGGTATATAGCATTGAACAAGACAGATTAAAATTCCCACTCTCCTGAAACTTAATCTTCTAAAATGGGGTAAACATACAAATAACAAATACATTCACAAGACTACATTGGATAATGCTTATGGTGAGAATAAAAAAGGGTCATATTACAGGAGTGACTGGGAGGCCATTTTTGGTTGACTGGTAAAGAAGGGCCCCCAAGAGAAAGGGACTTATAAGCTGAGACCGGCATGACAGGAAGGAACAAGCCTTGTCACGATCTACAGGAACAGTGTTCCAGTCAGAGTGAACAGCAAGTGCAAAGGTCATGAAAACAAGAGCAGGCTTGTTATATTCAAGTAAGCTAAAGAAGGACAGTCTGGATAAAATACAGTGAGCTGAGGGAAATTGGCACTGAATGAAGCTGGAGAGGCAATCAGAGGCCAGATCCTGTTGCATATTGTGGGCCAGGATAAGAAGCTTATTCTTATTAGCAATCAGAGGCAAAAGTAGAGCGTTGTATTTTAAGCTGAGGAGTGACATGATCAGATTTCCCTGTGAAAAGATCACTGGCTGCCCTGATGAGAATGGATTGTAGGGAGACAAGCAAGAAGACCAAGTTGGAAAGCAATTATTTTAGTTGAGGAGATACGTGATGGTAAGCTTGGATTCAGGTGGTAGTTATGGAGATGGGGAGGAGTGAATGGATTCTAGATATGTATTGAAGGATGAGCTGACAGGACATACTGATGCACTGGATGTGAGAAATGGGAGAAAGAGTTGAATAAAGGATGACTCCTGTTTTTGACTTAAGCAACAGTGTGAATCATGGTGCTATTAACTGAGAGAGAGAAGACTTAGAGAGGAGCAAAGATAATAGTGTCTACCTCAGGGAATGCTGACAAGCACTTAGCACCAATGCTGACATAGAGTAAGCACTCAACGCATTATCTCTTATTTCTACTTTTACTAACACTACCACTATTATTACTAGCTATGATTTTTTAGCCCTTGTTATATGGCTGACACTGTGATCATCCTCAATAACCCTATGAGGTAGGTCATATTATTGAAGATGATAAAACTGATACTCAGAGAGGTTAAAGAACTCGCTCAGTGAAACGTGGCTAGTAAATGGTGGACCTGAGACTTGGACTCAGGTCTATCCAGTTCACACACATAATCTTTCTCTACTGTCTCTTCTTTTATTCCCTATTTTTACTGTTCTTCATAGGTATCTGTATATCACAACAAAGGAGATATGGTTCATTCCTGCCCGTATAAAGTTCTGTGATTCTGTTTTCAGTTTCCACAATGTACAATATTGTCTGGTGATGAGGATGGAATTCTACTGATTGAAAATGGGCAACAGAGGACAGGGCAATAGAGATTCTAAGTTCATAAGTGAGGATCAAGTTAAAGCAGGAATTTCCAGAGATAAAACTAGACTACTTGTCTTTCAAAGTTTGAAACACTTTGTGATCATTTGCCAATTGCCAAATATTCTGCACAAGTACTTAAAAGTTGTTTTTTACCAAAGAAAAGAGATGGAGAAACCTTGCGGGAAGTATATCCTTAACTGACTCTTTTTGTCTGTTTACTCTGACTCTCAAACGTCTACGATATAAGATTGATGATGAATCAATCAGAGAAGTATATACATCAGTATATGACAAAGTGCTAGAATGAATATGATCAGGTGTTATAAATGTATGATTATGTTTTTCAAGAACTCATTGTATGAAACTGCTTCCTTCCTTCACCCTAAAGGTGAAATATTTCATAGTGTCAGAAAAATGAGGGTGCGTTCCTTCCTAACTACAGTTTTTTTGTTTTTGTTTTTGTTTCTTTTTAATAAAAAGGATATTTTTTCAGCCAATATCATTTCAAGTGTCAGGTATCTATTAGTCACCAAACAAATATTTATTGAGCACCTATTCTGTGAAGGTACCAAAAAGGCCAAAGTGAATGACAGGGCTCCTGCTTTCTAACAGATTAAAAGATGATTTGGGACATGTATACAAATTACAGTCACACAAGTATACTCAAGTAAAAGACAGGATCTCGTCTGGTTCAGCATAGAATTGTACCCTAGGAAACAGTCCAGTAACTAAACATAATTTTACAAGTTTGAATATTTAAGTCTTTACTGTGGGCCTTTCAAAAACATCAAGGGGGGCGCCAATTTGTAACCCCCAGCAACATTTAAAATTATCTTTTTGGAGGCCAGCCCAGTGGCATAGTAGTTAAGTTTGCATGCTCTGCTTCGGTGGCCCAGGGTTCGCAGGTTCAGATCCTGGGCACAGACTTAGTACCACTCATCAAGCCATGCTGTGGTGGCATCCCACATAAAATAGAGGAAAATTGGCAACAGATGTTAGCTCAGGGCCAATCTTCCTCATCAAAAAAAATCAAATGAAATAAAAATTATCTTTTCACATTACTTTCACGCTATCTCTTAGACACTGCAGCTGCCCAGAAACCTCTCTTATCACTCCTCATTCTCATTCCTAACTAAATAACTCACTCTGGAATGCATCCTCTGCAAATTTTTCCTCTTTTTCAATCCTCTCTTGCTTGTTTTTTCCTTACAAGAAGCTCTTGCTCCCCTTTGCAATGTAATTTAAACTAGCATTGCTCCTTATAATTTTTCAGCTCTTTCTGCCCATTACACCTATTCTGTACAATAAAAGACCAGGAACTGATCTGACATACCAAGAATCTGCATACAAGTTGCTGGATTTGGCGAGACCCATACAGCCAAAAAGAGGATTATTTTTAGGGGGTGGGGAGAAGGGAACAGCTGCCAACACTAAATGAATGACTTTTATCCTATCACACGTGAGAGAAAGTGAAAATGCTATAAGAAAAATAGAGATAAAGTAGCAGTAGAGAGTAAGGAAAATAGCTTTCAGCTTACAGAATCAGTGATGTTTGAGATGGTGCTTGAGGAGCTAAGCAGGTGGCGATAGTAGAGGCCTTCCCAGGCAGATGGAACAATGTCCAAGGGCAGGAAGGCAGTAAAACATGGGTTGTGCACAGGGAAAAACAGGATGGTCGGTTTGGCTGGAACTTGGGTTCATCAAGGCCTTTTTTCTGAATATGAACCTAACAATAAATAACCCTTGTTTTATGGAGGTTTCAGATATATTTAAGACATTGTCCAATTCTTAGAAAAGAAGCTACAAGATACAACTAATGAGCATCTTAACTTGCAGTCAGATAACAAGGCACATTTTTAGCAGATGATATTTCCATAGAGAAAATGTATGTTTAAAAAGGGTAAATTCCCGCCTATGACTCTACCCTAATTAATGAAAGGAAATGCTGCTGAGCTCAGCACTGTCAGTCAGAACATGCACTCCAACGTTTTTTCTCAGCGGTAGCGATGAATTCACACAGAGCCATCCCTACTCTCTCACCACTGAAGAGGGATCCACCTTGGCATGATAGCTGGTTAAGGTTTGGCGGGTACACTTTGTATCTATGACTATGAAAGAGAAAAGCTGAGTAGGAGGGTGACGTGTAGTTGCACCCCAAGGCCTTGATCTCGTTAAAACAAGACCTGGGTTAACACTAATCTACACACACTCATTTCCAGACCAGATCATGTTATTTAATACTAAGGCAATATACACTTACCTGGTTAGAGAGATGCCATATACATTTTTTATTTTTCAGCACCATAACCCTGCTCCCTTCCAATACCTTCCTCTGATTCCCCATAAGTAAAAGTGGTTTGGCCATGTTTCATATGTGCATTCACCTCTTTTGCTCTCTCCTTTTGTCCCCTCTTTTTTAACTGGGACTAAACCATACCCCTGGATGACCCCCTAGCACACTTTACACACACATAGAGCAGACTTTCCATACATGTTGGTTGCAGCTTACTGGCTGGAACCCTCTGGTCACTAGCATCTGGAGGTTTTTAATTTGGCCACATGAACCCTTTCGTTTTCTAATAAGTTTTACCAATAGAAACAGAAATAGATAGCAGGAAGACAATTATTATGAGATGACAGTGCAAAGAATGATGCTGGGAAAATCAGTATTTTACAGCAGTGTGCAAAGTCGCAGAAAATTCTGATTTTTAAGACATTTAGGGAAGTTTCCTATTAGGTAATGTCTTTGTACAAACACTCTGGCAAACTTTTCACTTTAATCCCACATGACAGAAAGCAAGGATGAAAAAGCATTGTTGTTTCTAAATAAAATATGGCCTATTTTTACTTTCCATTATTTTAGAAACAGGTGGAGCCAAGTTTGATTTCCCAGCATGTGGACAGGTCATTCCCTTTAACTACTTTGCTTGCCATTATCTCAAATAGCAAGCCCAGAGAGGATCACTATCGTTTCTCTAGAGGTAAAAACAAATCACCAGTTTTGACTAAGACATTGGCCCCTGTGAAATTTCCGTCTCCTTCCCTTGCCCATTAAAGCTGGATCTTCTTCAAACGACATTGTTTTTAAAGCTGTCTTGTTCAGCCAGACCTGGTGGTCTAGTGGTTAAGATTCAGTGCTCTCACCACCACAACCCGGGTTCATTTCCTGGTCAGGGAACCACACCACCATCTGTTGTCTGTCTGTTGTCATACTGTGGAGGCTGCCTGTTGTTGTGATGCTGAAAGCAATGCCACTGGTATTTCAAATACCAGCAGGGTCGCTCATGGTGGACAGGATTCGGTGGAGCTTCCAGGCTAAGGTAGACTAGGATGAGAGACCTGGCCACCCAGTTCTGAAAATATTGGCCATGGAAACCCTATGAATAGCAGCAGAGCGTTGTCTGATAGAGTGCTGGAAGGTGAGAGGATGGTGCAAAAAGAGTGGACAGGGCTCAGCTCTGCTGTCCACAGGGTCCTGGAGCCTGGAGTTGGGATTCTGACTCAATTTGAGGGCACTAACAACAACAAAATCTCTTTAGCTGCCCATCTCACTAAGCATGCTAGCTCAAGGGCTCAAAGGCCAAGTCAGATCACCTCAGTTGGATTTGTTGAGGATATTTAGTGACCGAAGTGGAATTAATTTTAGTTTATTAAATCCTTTCCTCTGGACTTACAGAGAAAAACTTTTAAAATGGGTATACCACATGCATTCATGAAAATGTCAATATCTCTCCTTAGTCCTACCAAACATAAAACCCCAAACCAAACAAACAGACTGAATCTTTTACTGAAGAGAATATTATGAAAACAAGTTGTAACACAGAGATCTGTGTTTGGTACCCCTCCTGGAACCACTCCCTTCCTTTCCAGTGCCCCCTCCTAGGCTCCCACTGCTTTACCCTTTGGCTTTCTTTCAGTTGAACCCTATCCCAATGGACAATGGAGTCCTCTGTGCAGCTTGATGAGCCTTTCCTTCCCCTCCCTGACTCTCCACCCCCAGTTATTCCTAAATCTGCCATTGCCCAAAAGCCCACAGCCCTACCCAGACCTGCTGTCCTCATTCACTCTCAGGTGCTTTGTCTAAGGGACAAACAGGCAGGAGCCCTCTTGTCTTCCCACCCCCTTGTAACACAGATCAGTCTCTGCTCTCCCCTCCTTTGTCATAGAGGAAGAGGTGGCCTTTCCAAACCTAGCCAAGTCAGTAAATTAACTTCCTTTTCCTTTTTGTATATTTGTGAACATTTAATTATTTTGCTTTCACAACACAGAAGTATATAAAGAAGCAAAAGCCCTCTATCTTACTGCTCCTACCCTACTTCATTTTTCTGAAGGAAAAAAAGGTTTTCCTCACCTTTTCTATCTTACTCAACTTTAGATCCGTAATATAAAGCAAACATAAACCTATATATCTACATACCATACATATACACACTTACAGAATTGTAGGGGGTATTTTATTTTACAAAAAACAAAAGGGATCCTGTCATAGGACATCTTTTTCATTGAGCAGTACCATGGACGTGCCTCCAGTACAGTCTGCAGGATCTACCTCATTCTTTTACATATTTCTTGCGTTTTCAAGCTTTCTTCAGCTATCTCCTTCCTCATGGCTGAAGTTTCTCCCATATTCAAAAGAACCCTCTCTCAGCCATGCATCCCACCTCACTCCTTCCCTCCGCAGCCAGAAGTCCTTGAAGGGAAGCCTCCCTCACTGAGTGCACATCCTCAACCCTTGCAGTTTGCCTTCTGCCCCTCCTGTACCCAGACCTGCTCAAAGATCGAAAGTGAACGCCAGACCCAGTGGGCACTTTTCACCTCCTATCTTAGGGGCCCCCCTGCAGCCCCGGGCACTGCTGAGCACACTCCCCTTGCAACTCTCTTCCCTCTGTTCTGACTACCGCTACATGCCTCATTGCCTCCATGGTTCCCAATCAGGGACGATTTTGCTCTCCTGTGGGCATGTGACAATATCTGGAGATAATTTTGGTTGTCACAGTTAGGGGGCGATGTGCTCCTGGCCTCTACTGGGTTCTGAGGCCAGGGTTCTGCTGAACGTCCTACAGTGTACTGGACAGCCCCCTGCAACAATTATCCAACCTCAAGTGTCAAGAGTGCTGGGTTTGGGAAACCTGGCTCTAGAACTGTAGAAATGAGCCCAAGAACACTTCTGACAAGTGCAGGTTAGGGATCTTGCCGGTGTGTCCCTCAGACAAAGCACTGGAGAGTGAATGAGGACAGAAGGTCGGGGTGGGGGTAGGGGCTTTTGGGCAATGGCAACCATCCTGATGTTTGTCCACACCTGCCCCAACAGGAGAGAGCCCAAGGTCACATCCAGCCGCTGCAGAGATGTCCCAGGTCTATGTCAGCTTCAGTCCCTAGGTCCTCAGTCTCCAGGTGATGTCCAGGGCTCCTCTAGTTATCTCAGTCTGGTCCAGGTGTGAATCCTCACCATCCTGCCACCTGCAGGATAAACCACACATTTAGCCCCGCTCAAGACATCTTCTCGTCATCAGAGGGGGAGATGCAGACCATCCTCCCCACTCCCCCTTTCCCAGTTTACCCCCTCCCTCTGGAAATTGATTTCCCAGTGGGATATGTTCTATTGCACATTTCTGAATCCACTGAGGGCTTTGTAGCCAGACTCCCCTCCTACTATTGTCCTGGTGGTGGGCTGGGGGAGAGAATCCCTCAGGATGGCACCATGCTTTGGTCTGTGGTCTAGCCCAGCCCACCTTTAGGCACCGTCAGTTGCTGACTCACCTCCTTGGCTGTGGCGTGAGTTCCTTGATCAGATCTGACTGTCCCCAGTTCTGCTCCCTGGGCACTGGGGAGGCTTCTCCTGTCATGGGGCTGAAGAGCCATAGCAGTCCTCGCCTGCAGCTGGTGCTGGCATCCTCTGTATGCAGCCCTGAGGGATTCCCTTAGAGGTGGCACATCTCTGCTGTGGTGTAAACCCGGTTTGCCCCAGGCCTGTTTTGATTGTTTCTTGTGATATAAGTTGCTGAGAACATGAAAGAGCTTCCTGTCTAGTTCATTCCTGGAGACTCTGGGGATCCAGGAATCCCCACTACCTGGCACACCCTGAGGACCTCCGCAGCCAGGTCCAACATTTTCTTTGATGGTCTGGGGTTTTCAACTGTTCTTCTGGTGCCAATTTCTGTCTTGGAAATAATCTGGTTGCCCAGAACAGGAACCCGCTCAACTTAGCTTCAAGAAAAGGGGATCTGTGTAAAGTGGCTTTTCACAAAGCACAATTTTAGAAAGTGGAAACATGGCCAGGCCGTCACTCTCTCCATCTCTGTGGTCACAGGATCAACTCCTCTCTGCTTCTCTGTGCCCGTGTGCTCCCTGGGACCTCATAATGTCATCCTCTAAAAGCACTTGGCCTCTGTAAAGCACACGGTTCTGCTCCCCCACAGCCAGGGTCAGGCCTCGGCTGTGGCCTCAGTGTTCATGGCTCTGACCTTGACCCCAACTCCAAGTGACCCATTGTTTCATTTCCCAGCACCATCCTGACTTTGGCATCTGCCTCTCTATTCAGATTGTCTAGTGTGAGAATCTGTTTTGCTCAGGATGGGTCAAATGCCCACTCCTGCTCCCATCATCTATAGCCTAGGTGGGGGAGGGAGTGGGTCGTTATATATATACATAGCTGCCCTGGTCCACCAGATACCAGGGCGGGGGGAGAGAGACACAAATAGAAGCTGCAGCACTTCTGGGGTGTGGAATGCCAATGCTCTGGAATGCAAAGGGAGTCATCAAACGTGTCTCTATGTCTCTCTCCCCGCAGCCCCCTAACCTATACCCTCCCCAGTGGCCACCTCACACCCCAACTCCCATCCCACTTCCCACTTCTCTCACAAACCAGTTGCCCCATCCCCCCACCCACCCATTCCCCCGCAAACCCTCCCCTACCTCTCCCCCTCCCTCTGAAAATTGATTTCCCATTGGGATATGTTTCTGTTCTGTTTCACATTTTTGAATTCAAGGGTTTTGTAGCCAGATTCCCCTCCCGCAGCGGAAGCAAGTCTCCCTCCGTGAAAAATTCACGGCCTTACACCAAGGGCAGTCCCAATCCCCGGGCCTGCGAAATACTGGAGGTCTTCTCTGCTGGTGGGCATCGAAGTCTCTCCTGTCTCTTTGGGATTGAGGCTCTATACCCTGAGCCCCATTAGACCCTAAGGTAACACTAGAGGGCCCCCAGTGGGGAGCCGTCTGAGATGGAGCCCCTGCTGTGAACATTGCTGCTGGTGGGGATGCTGTGGCTGAGTCTGGGAATGGGAGTAAGGGGCATGTGAAGGGGTATGTGAATGAGGCCGGGAGCTGCACAGGAAGGGATGCTGGGGAGACTCTGGACCTGGGCTTCATGGTCTCAGAGAAATAAAACATGGCTGTTTCCGCAGACCTGAGACCTCCCTCCCTCTGCCTGCCAGAGGGGTAATTATTCTGCTTCACAGCTCCAAGAACCTGCAGGAGGCCTCCACCCAGCTCTTTTGTGGCCTCTTCCCTTTCCTCATCCTTCTCCTGTCTTCCTCCTCCTCCTATAGCACCAGCAACGGTGGCAGTAGAAGCAGCGGCTGCCCCAATCTCCTGTTCCTTCTCACCTGCTCCTTCTGTCCCAGCCCCACTGGCAGTGGCCAGGCCTGGCGCTGCTGCGACCTGCTCCCGGGGAGACCCTAGCTCCTGGAAAGAAGTGGGCAAGGTTGAGACCAGTTCTGGAGGCAGGGAGGGGGGCAGAGGGCAGAGAGAGGAGACGGGGCAGGGACTAAGTCCGGGTAAACTTACAGCCCGGAGGAGCTTCCACTTCAGGAGGTCCCTTTCCTTCCGCATCTCTGCCAGGTTGGCCTGTGTCTGCCGCAGCCGAAAGGCTGCCTCCTTGCGCTCCATCTCCTGCTGAGCTGTGAGCTTTTTCAGTTCTGAGGTCAAGTCCTCCGCAGTGGACTTATGCAGTTTGGTGAAGTCCTGCAGCCACTGCACCCTGCGCTCCTGTAACTGGCCCTGCCTGCAGGTGAAGCGCACGCCCAGGGCCAGACCGCTCCAGGCGCAGGCCTCTTTGGCCTCGCTGGGCACCGCACTGTCCTCCAGGATGGCCCTGAGCTTGTCTTCCACCTCTTCCCAGGACAGGGATATATTCTCGAGGTAGAACTCAAGGCCTTTTTCGTGCGCGGCTATTTTCTCGTTGATGAAGGCCACCACCTCACCATGCTGGAACCCACCACAGGGGTCATCAGGTTTCAAGGCCATGAGAGCTGAGGGCCTCAGCGGCTTAACTGGCCCTGTGGGGATGAATCAATCAGTTGTCCCCTACCCCCCTCTATAGCCCCTCCCTCTCCCTTGGTCTCCTCCCGTCCATTGCCCTTCCCCTCCCCCCGCAGACCATTGTAAAGACCCCTGACTGGCTTGTTCCACCCTAGAACACCTCACCTCTCCAGCCAGGGCCAGAAAAGGTGCAGGCCGACCACGTCCACCTACCACGGCCGAAGACAGTGAAGATCCTCGTCTCTCTGGGGTCTCTGAGGAAAGGAAGCCTCCGCGCCAACCGTCGTCCCAGAGGCGTTTACCCTGGGACTGTTCCAACTTCCAGAGACAGCAGGGGTGGGAGGGAATGCAAAAGGAAGGCCCCTCCCCCCCCCCACCTCGAGACATAAGGGAACTTAGTATCCTGTTGAAAGTGCTTAAAGGTGGGAAGAAATAGGAGTGGTAAGAAAAGACTCAGAAACACGTAAAGTGCTTGTAATCAAGTACAAAAAGTCCCACTCACCCCGCCCCCTACCATAATGGTTTGTCTCATACCAGGGACCCTCCCCTCCTAGAGACGGAATGTTCTAGAACAGGTAACAGCCCCAACCTCTCAGTGGCCTCTGGCGCCCCCCGCCCCGGAGGAAGACTGTAGCTCCTGTTGTAGACGTTCCTGAATTCTAATACGAAAGTCAGTAAACTATTTCTCTAAAGGGCCAGGTAGTAATTATTAAGGCTTTGTAGGCAAAAGATTTCTGTCCCAATGACTTATAGCACAAAAACAGACATAAACAATACTTGAAGAAATGACTGTGGCTATGTTTCAGTAAAACTTTATTTACAAAAATAGGCAGCTGGCAGGATTTGGCCTGTAGTTTGCCAACTCTTGATCTAAATTTATATTTCCTGCATGTCCCAAAGACATCCAAAATCCAAATGTCTGTAATATAACTCACCCTTTACCCCAAGAGATGATTCTCCTCCTATATTCCTATGAAGTAGAGAAACTTCAAAATCATCAACCCCTCCTTCCTTTACTAACATATCAAATTGGTCACCAAATCTTGTTGCTATGACCTCAGAAAATTCTTTGATATCCAGTCTTATTTAGGGAATGCCCATGTGGCTTCCTAAATAATGTCCTTGACTTTAATCTCTTTCTAGTTCCTAATCTCTTCCTAATCTTTCCTATGATCATGCTACTTTCAAACTAAAAGGTGTTTGATGGCTTCCTGTGACACACTTCTTGGCCTGATGGTAGAATTTCACCCTGGTCTACCTTTCTAATTTAGCTCTTTTCATTCTCTTCTCACCCATCATTCATGTACCCAAGAGACTAGCCATGCGGTGATACACTCATTTTGGGTTTTAATTTATTTTTCCATGTGAAAAATCAGAAATTCATTATTTTATTATATGAGCATTATATTCTGTTCTATGAGCTACATTGAAAAAGACAACATTTCTTCTTTAAGGATCTTAATGTTAGGTAGTGAGAGAAAAATAATAAATCAGCACTAAAATATTACCTGAGAAGGTGGTTAAATTCCAGAGGTATAAATCCCACTGTTTTAGTTCTCTTTTAAATGGTTATCTTGTATTTTCTTTCCATTTCAATTTGTGAATATTGTTTATCATCCTTCAGTGGGAAAGGTTCATGTTTTGTCTATTATAGAGTTATTTCTACAGATAGAGCATTCAGGAAATAATGTAGAAACTGGAATGGTGAGGAAAGAGGGAAGATACTGGAATCAAGGAGACCCACTAGAAGGATGCCGCAGTAATTCAACTTGTAAACTAAGGCAGTGAAAGTTGAGATGGAGAGAAGAGCGTAGAGGGTCATTTGGTAGGTAGAATTCATAGGAATGTCAAGGATGGGGTGAGAGAATGAACAGGGTAATTCCTAGGTTTCTGCTATAGGGAACTAAGTAGATAGTGATGTTATAGACTTAGATGCAGAATGAAGGAGAAACTGTTTGAGGTGAGTTCACTTTTAGACATATTGATGTTAAGATCCCTATTGATGTTAAGACATTGATATTGAGATACCTGGTAGCCTAATAGAGATACCCCATAGGCAGTTAGATGTATAAGTCTAGAACTTAGGAGCAAGAACAGGACTAGAGATGTAGTACTGAGGGGTGAAAGTTAGATTCAAATCAGTGGTTGAAATAACCCAGGGAGAGAATACAGAATAAGAAGAGCAGAGTGCATAGGACAGATTCCTGGCCTGCCTGCATCATCTCTTCCTTTCTACCAGTGTCTACTCTCATTCATGGTTTTATAGCTGACCTGCTTACTCCTTTGCCTTCTCTTTTTCTAGCCTCAGAATGTCTTTTACCCTCCCCTTTTTATTCCTTCTATAACACTTTAAACACGGACTTCACCTTGTGATCATTTCTCTCTCTAGGCTACCATTCTTCTACTTCTGCTTATAAACACTTTTAGAAAATTTAAAGTAAATCATTTCTTTTGGCTAAAGGATTGGAGAAGGGAGAAAATGAAGACAGGGAAACCTGTTAGGATGCTGCTTGAATAGTGAGGCAAAGCATGATTAGTGCCTGAACTGTGGCAGGACCTAGATGAGACATCAGATGAGGTGAGAATTTTGAAACAGAATTAGCACAACTTGTTAAATAGTTGTACATAGGAAATAAGTATGGGGAAGTAGAGTGAAGGATGATTCTGAGGCACCTGACTTGAGAAACTAGGTAGTATGATTAGTGATATATCTCATCATGATAGACGCTACAGGAGGAAGAACACACTGTAGGGGACAGATAAGTTCAGTTTGGGACTGATAAGTGCCTTCATGACAGTCATATGGAGTCATAATTGGATGGCTATACTGGGCTGAAACTTAGGAGAGAGGACAGAACTAGAGAAAAGTATTATAGATTTTGATGTGTTCAGCACTTAGCTTGTGGTTTAAACCTAGTGCTTGAACAAAATCGCTGGAGATGAGGCTTGGAGGGAGAGAAGAAAAACACAAACAAGCAGAACAAAGGAAGGAATCCGGAGCCCTGGGGGAAGATGGCCAACATTTTAGGGATACGCCAAGGAAGAAAAGCCAGTAATAGAGTTATAAGGGATGGTCAGGAGAGAGGTTATCTTAGAAGTAAGGAGAGATTTAGAAAGTTGAAGGAGAGTTACAAGTTTCAAATAATGCATGATGGTCAGATAGGATGAGAATGAACGAGAGGTCATTAGATTTGGATAATGAGATGTCCTTAGGGAGTCTAGTGATACTTATTCAATGGGATGTTGGGAGCAGAAGCCAGATGATGGTAGGTCATAGAGCGAACTAGAGCAACATGCAGAAGTTTTGAATACTGATAAGTCTTCCAAGATCTCTGACAGTGACAGCTATGGTGGGTAGGCAGGGGTCAGTGAATAGATCATGGAAGCATGGGATATGACAGCTCAGTTGTTAAGACAATTAATTTATATAACTTTTCGTTCTTTTTTCTTTTTTTTTAAGATTTTGTTTTTCCTTTTTCTCCCCAAAGCCTCCTGGTACATAGTTGTATATATTCTTAGTTGTAGGTCCTTCTAGTTGGGGCATGTGGGATGCCGCCTCAGCCTGGCTTGATGAGCAGTGCCA